ACTCAAGACCAGTATCAGGTCACCTGCTCAAGCTCACCACTGATGGACGTACTCACAACAGGCGTTTCCCAGTGCTAGCGGGACATGGCACTTGTAGCCTGGAAGAAAATGCAGAGGTGCACCTCCTGATGGGCACTCGGGCCACCCTCACCTGTGCAAACCTAGGGCAGCCAGGCCAGGCATCAGCCTGCTGCTTTATGGGGTGCCCTTGGATGCCAGACAAGGGATGCCCCATGCGGGAACTGAAACTGGGTTGTATGGGAAACCCCCGAGATCTGCATCACCCGCTTTCTCCCAGCATCTTATCCCCCCACTCCCCAAATCCAGGATCTTGCTTTTTTCTCATCTCCAGCTTATGTACAGGCTTTGGTGGCCTTGGAAGCAGCAAGATTGTTTAATTCAAATCTCAGGAGGTTAATAAAGTAAGAACGGGAACTGAACCTACCTGCCAGATATGCTGCTAGAGGAGGAAGCCCTCGACGCTTAGCAGTCAAGGCTTTAATCTTTATTAAAGCCCAGCAAGCCCAAAGAGTTGGGACAGGAATGGCATGAGGAGAACTTTGTGGCCTGATTCTACAAAGCCTTTGCCTTTCCCCCCAGTATTTCCCCTGAGGAGAGTGGCATATGGAGGGGAGAGGGGGATTTCTGGGGGCAGACCTCAACTACATGCGTTATCAGACATGAAGAGGATGAAAAGAATAGCACAGTTTATTGTCAAACTGAATCAAAGCATGAAAAAAAGATCACAAAGTTACACCGTAAAGAAGTTTGGGTTTTATCACAAAAACTCATTAAAATCTGACAAAGAAAACAACCCATGGTCACGCCAGTTGCCCCTCCAACAACCCTCAAGACTCTTCGACATTTACCGAAATGCTGGGAATTCACAGGTGGTGCACGTTGCATTTGTATGAATGAAACGATCGACCCTCATTACCCGTAAGGAGGGTGGTTCTCAGCGGGGGTGACGTGTTTCTGGCTTAACGGTGACTCCTCTGTTTGCCTTCAAGTCACAACAGCCTTGTCCTAGCTGGAGTCCAGCCCGAGATGATGGCTAAAGGCGTTTCTTTTCTTTGACCAGCGTTTTCCTGCAATTTACGTCCTGACAAATGTGTCTACCTCACTAAATCAAAAGGCGGTTGCAAAATTACATGATGCCAGTTGCACAGAGAAGAGCGGCGGGAGGTACGACTGCAGCACAGGGTCCCCCCCGGTCCAGGGGATACAGCTAAGCCAACACAGCCATCACCTCAAAAATGCAGTTTGCTGCCTGTTTAAGCCATGACCAAATCTAACCTCTTGAAATTGCTGTTCGGGAAGGTGTGGAATTGCAGATGCAGACTTATTTTACTGAGACCAATCCAGCTCTGTTAAGTCCAAGACGTTAGCGTATGTCCTGTGCTTCAAGAACGCTGATTAACATGGCATTAGGCAATTACAGGACAGCCTGCTCCTCCGTGCAGCTCCCTTTGAAACAGCCCCGGAGAAGACTTTAAACAAAAGATGCCTGGAAGCATTTCAAGTTGGAGTTTGCCAACCTGTCAAAACCAATATATTACCCAAAGATCATTTATTTTTCCAGTAGCTCCAGCAGAACCAACAGAGGAGTCCAGGAGAACTTGGCCTGGTCTCCTGCTAGCGTAGCTGGGCTGGGAGAAACCCTGGTCGGCAAAGGTCGCTTGCCAGGAAAATTGCTGGAGACTGCAGGATCCCCTGGAGCTGCAGCCCACCTGGAAGAGCCCTATCCCATCTTGCAGGGAATTTCAGAGCGGTTGGCTTTCCTTCCAAGTCAGAACACAATAAAAAGGGGAAAAAAAAAAAAAAATACTGGAAGGCATATATGCATATAGGCTATGGCGTATTCAATTTTGCAAACACTTACTTTCAATCAGCTAGGATAGAACAACAGTGTCCTTCTCACCACTATGAATGAGCTGGTTTATGAATTTTGAAATGCTTTTTTTACTGAGTGAAAGAAAGGCATCTTTATCCGAAGGAGCAGCTAAGGAGATTGGTAAAACTGGGGAAAAAAAACCAACCCGAAACAACAAAACCCCCCAAAACCCCCAAGAAAAACCCAATCAAAAAACCCCAAATCTAAAAAAATAAAAAATAATAAAAAAAAATCAAAACCCCCAACCCACCAGTACAAGTAAAGGCAGTCCAGGTCATTCCAACTGGTCATAGGAATAACTAAAAAAATATTTTTAATTGCAACTCGTGCTATCTTGAGCCAGCTGCTTATTCTAACAGGCCTAAGGTTTTCTGCTCACAAAGCATTAATAATATGTGCCTTTTCCTAGAAAGGAAGGCTCTGCCTAAGTCTTACTGTGTCAGATAAAAAGTCCCAAAATAGACTTTGCAACCAAATAAAGTGTTTTATTCAGATATTCATTTGGATACGGCAGCGATGTTAAGGACAGCTATTCAAGTAGCTGAAGTAAGCCCTTCAAAAGAAGTCACACAGCTTTGAGGCTTGAACAAATTATTGTATGATCTCATCCAAGAGATCTAAATAGCTGGAACATCTGCCAGAGTCACCACCAATTTATTTAGCAGAGTTCATCAGCAGTTCATCAGCTCTGTGTGCACAAGCAGGTGCCAGGGCAGTCAATAAGGAGTCCTATACAGGACTTAAAAAGAGGAGAGGGGGAGGCGAGTGGGACAGAGATGGGCGATTTTACCGTCTCACACGGATGTGCATGAGCAGGAATAAAGTCCCTGTCAAATGAGAGCAGTGACTATTACTGAGGGGAGAAGTGCGGAAATTCTTTTTCCCAGAGAAGTATTACATGCACAAGTAACTATATTGTTAAAATTTTTTTTATTTGTGACAGTAAAGAAACCATTCAATACCTGATTGACAACACTTCCCTCTCCTGAAAACACTCATATGGTATCTGTAGTGTTTCTCAAGTATCGCTGGATTGTTCATTGCATTAAAGTGTAAACAGCTCCATTATTAGGAAAAAAAAAAAAAAGAAAAAAAAAAAAGGAACATTTCCATTGCTTACTCCTCTGTTAAGAAGTTCCCAATAGATCTTTAACAAGGAAGGAAAAAAAAAAAGTCAGCTGGATTTTTACAATATAATGTGAAACAGAAACCCGACAGCTGGTTTTGCATAGTTAGCCCAGAGATTTCTCAGCAATTGCCCCACGCGCGCCTCACCTGCCCTCCCAGCCCCACAAAGGCATAACATCACAGCACCTTGGAAATCAGAGGCACAAACTTGGTTTTGTTTTACAAATAGGGCTGTGCGGTACTGTGTTTTATTAGTTTAAAAAGAATCTGTAAAACATAGGATTAAGTATTTGTAAATTATAGAGCTACAGATTTTTTTTTTTTAAACACTGAAATTTCAAAAGCTGCAACATCAGTACACACCAGTGTCATTTCGATACTTTATTGTCCCCAACCAGTCTAATCAAAATCATGCTGTGATAAAGTGATTGCATACACCGATAACCAAATCTCTTCAGGTGTTGAGTTTCTTCCACGTATAACCTTGCTGTTTAAGAAAAGATTAAAGGGCAAAACAAATAGACAAATTATTCTTCCAAAGCTACCTAAATGAACACAGCAATATTGTACATTTGCTACGATCTTCCATTCAAAACCTGCCGCACTTTCCTGGTGGTTAGCGAGAGTTCTGCGCACAGCCCTAGTTTACAAATGGCAATTTAATCGTAACACTTCAGTTGAATTTCAAGAATCTAAGGCATTCTGCCTTACAGCTTAATTTAAAAATACCTATACAGGCAAAAAACCTTTTTTAACCCAACATAAAAAGGACAACAGAACTTCAGGCCAGGCAGCGTTTCTCTAGCTGAACAGAATGACCAACGGGAAAAGACTTTTTAATGCTTCTATAATATCCAGAAATAGAATTGAAAACCAGGGTTTATAACAGCCCTGGTGACCTGCATGCATTAACTGCACTTCAAAATATGTAAGAGATTTAGGAAAGAAATATTTTTTTCCTATTTTAATTTTTAAAATCTTGTATTTAAAATACAATCAAATACCCGTATTGCAAATTTTACAAACATTCCACTCATTATCTGACTTTATGGACAGAACTATATTGCTTTGTTAAAATCTAGAAACCCTAAATATAAAGCGTATGTATATTCACGCAGACTTAACACTTGAAATTTCAAGTACGATGAAAGTGTCAAAATAAACCACCATGACAGCTTGATCCCTTCGGCCAAAATCTGAATAACCAGGGAAGTCCAAACCTGACTGCCGAGTACTCCAAGTTTTATTTCAATGAGAATGATTTAAAAAAAAAAAATTAAAAAAAAATAATCAGAAGTTAAGATTCTAGCAGGGATCAAAACTGTTGCCAAATTTTTCGCCTTCGTATTGTCACCAAATGTCATTTTAATGCTGTACTAAGTTAAAATAAGTTTAACGTTTTTTTTTTTTAATGTGTGGATTTCAAGATCCAAAATAAACAATAAAAACCAAGTATGGTTGCACAGAACATCAACAGAACCGTTCTTCCAGAAGCTGGTGCAGAAGTTCAGTTGTCCATTATATGTGGATTTTAAAACAATACAAGACACTTTAATAATCAACATTCATTCACAGACTTAAGGCAACTGGTTCATGAAATCGCTGCTTTCATAAATGCAAACTAATGACATGGTTTGTCTCACGTACAACAGGTCACAACCATTAAATGGTAATGTCTCTGTGGGGTTATTTATTGTCTAATTGGAAGATTGTTTGGTCTAATGCTAGCGAGAAAGTCTTTGAATTTTTTCAGCCATTCCTATCATACCTGCACAACTAACTACAACCTGAATACTTTCCCTGCAGACTGCATTTGAAGCCTAGAAGCGACAAACACAGTTGAAAATACTGCTCAGAGAACAACTTTTTGGCAGCTTACAGTTTCATTACTCTGAAGTCAAATACAAAATTAAACAATCTTAAACCGAAAGTAAACGTTGATGGACTAACCAGAATCCATATGTCCTTCCCCCCCCCCCCCCATTTTTTAAACAACATAGGTTTTAAAATTTGACAGTTTTGTCTTTTGTTGTGGCACAGAATTATACAGTACTAAGGTAATGCCAACTGGTAAGAAAACAAAACGGTGATGCCGTACAGACTCACGAGCGTCACGGGACTGCCTCTACCATCCCTCGCTGCGAGACACAGCCCGCAGCTGGTGCACGGCTGGACTGCAAGGGGGCAAAGTCATCTTTCAGTTTTATACTGCCCCTACGACAACCTACTCACTGCCTGTGTAGGCTGGCCTGCCCTTCTATGAATGAATTTGTTAAGCTGCTTCACCAATGTTTTAGACGAGGATGACAATCCCAGTCCATCGCAAAGATTTTTTTTTTTTTTTCCCCAAGTCGTCAAGACTTTTTGAGGAAAACGGACAAGGCAAAGGAGATTTACTATTCAGAATTTAGCACAAGGCTAATTAGAAGCACCAACTACTCCATTTAGTTTTCGCTGATGACAGCCAAACATAGCTGTAAATTTTTATGTTTGTAGATTTCTGGTGCGGAAAATAATTATAAGTTATAATTAAAAGGTGACACTGGAAAGGAAAAAAAAAAATAGGTGTGCCTTGTTCTTCAAAGGCTTAAAATATTTAGAAGCTATTCTTTCGAAAGGGTACCTGTGACACTGCAGAAGATGCTAAGCAGGTTCTCAGATTCAGAGATGAGACTTACTCAACCTCAAAGCCAGAGGATGGCTTTTGGTCTAGGCTAGTAACTTTTGCCCTTCTAGCAAGACTCGATAAAGCCCCCAATCTGCACCTAACACCTTGAGGAAGAAGAAATACAAATTGGAGATGTGGGAAAACTACTTTTTGCATTTTTATATACCAAAGGAGAGGGCTTCATCCCAACTGAAAAAAAAAATTCTATTAAAAAATCCTTTGCAGGTCACCTTTAACTGAGTTCTCTGGTATATCTGATACCGTAGGATTAATAGATAGGGGTGGGATATGAAGCCTGCATTTTATTTATTGCCCAAGTTTGCAGCTTACAGAAAATGTTTCATAGCACAGGCACAGTGGCAAAAACAGTATAACAGCCGATGGTCAACTCCATTTGGTGAGTATACAGTAGCAGCAATTAAAAGAAAAAAGTACTCCAAACAGCTCAATACAGATCCAGCTTACCCAGATGGGTTTTTTTTTTTTTTAAGAAAAGAATCTGAAACTAATAAATAGACCTCCTCCCCATTCTCCCCAGATAATGGTTTTCCAAAAAACGAGAGGCATGGCAGTTGTGCGTAAGCAGAGACAATAGAACTTCATCTGTCTAGAAGAAAAGGTGCTTTAGATGTATTAGCCACCTTATTTTCTCAACGTCATCATTCCCTAATACTCAAACAACTGCAGATATGTTCAAAACTGTGCCCAAAATCGTATCAGTGAAACAACCATGTAATTAACCCAAATCACCCCTCCCACAAACGCTTAAACCTTCTGAGCATGACAAAATGTAATACAACTTAATGCCGTTGTGGAGACAGGAACCCAGCATCTTTGTTTCAACTTTTTCCTTTGTTATATATTACAGTGCTCTATAAAATTTTTCCTTTTTCCTTTTAAAGCATTTAGACAATACAAGACTAAAAGATGTCTGGAAATACGTCTTATACAAAAATGAATTTTTATCTTAAAATAACATTCAAAAAGGCACTTCATTCTGTAAGAAAAAATTCAGAGTCAGGTCAACTGCTCTAAGCAGGGGGGTAAAATTGTCTGCATAGTGGGAGGGGAAGAAAGGGAGAGAAATTCAACTGCTGAAATACAAGCTTCTTTTTTGGCATGTTTTAAGAAAAGCTGATCCAGTAAAAGATGTCCATTTATGAAATTCATTAAAAGAGTCCCATTTAAAATAGCTTCTTTTTTTTTTTTTTTTTTTCCTTTAAAAAAGTAGTCTGAACACATGACCTTAGGAGTCAGGCTTCTGAAGGCTTAATAGCATCACTCATGATTGTCCTTCGTGTCCAATGTAACAGGAAGATCAAGAGTAGCACTTCTGACAGGGGTGACCTCCCCAAAGCTTACATTTGAAAGAGCTGAAAAAGATGGAGACAGCCTCTAGCAACTGCAATCTAGTAGCAGAAGTCAGTCAAAGTTAAGGGCTACCTGTTGCAGAGTTTATGAAGCATACTGTAAACTTCTTCCTCTTTGCTTAGTCCTTCAAAGAAAGGAATAAGATCTAGCAGCTCTGTGTCTGTCATGTCATCAAACCAGGACTGCACAGGCACCTGAAACAAAGCAACCGATAAATATTAAGATGACTTTATGACGTGAAGAACGTGTGAGTTTTGCCTACGTAGGTGTCCTGTAACATTTACTGCCATCACAAGTCATTAGCATTCAAGTGGACTACCGGGTTCAAGCCCACATTTTTTAGTATGCAACATCAACCCCAAATCCAACTGTAGAACAGTTGACCTTCCAAATCCAACTGTAGAACAGTTGACATACAGCTGACTTTCTCCCACATGTCCAGGTAATCTACATGACCCAACACAGGACAGCTCAATTTGCTCTGCCTCCTTGATATTCGGAATGGACTGGAAGGAAGATACAGGTTATGAAGCTGTACTGACACTTTATTTATGTCCAAGTCTTTTTTTCTCGTCTAAGTATTATCAGTGTGAGTCACTAAACACAGGCATGCAGCAACAAACCCTTCTGGCATGAGGCTGCGGAGGAAATATTTAAACAGTGAGTACAGAGCAGATTTCAGATTAAAATATAAGACCTTGAGAGCAGGTTCAGAAAATAATGCATATAATAACACTTCTTAAATATGTGGGCTAGATTTGGGGAAGGAGTTCCGTGTATTTTCATTATGGAAGTACACTGAGGTCTTTCAAAGACTATCTTCGATCTTGTTACAAGCTCTGGTTTCTGCAGAGACTCGAATTCATCAGTTAGCTAACAGCACTTTTCTATACATGATTAAACCACTCTGACAAGGCCCTTAATTTCATCTCCCAAATTTCTACAGCTCATTATTTTCTTGGCACTGAATTCCGAGATACCAACTGACAATCTGGATCAGGTTTTTAATTTTAACCATGAACATAAATTAGAGCTACAGCTCCTGGTTATTATATATAGCAACTTTAAATCATGTGTGGCACCAACCAGAAAGATGTTTTCACCCAATCATTTAGGGCATCACAGTATTAAGATCTGAATTTAAAAGCAGATTGCTGCAAGATGAATGCCACACGTAAAACAAACAAAAAAACCCAACAACAACAACAAGAAAAGCTATTCAGGAGAGGCAGGACTATGCAAAACAGTGTTCCTGATAGAAGTTTTCTATGTCAAGTTTAAGAATTCACCAAAAAGGCAGCCGGAAAACATCAAAGAAAACATTGCACAGCCTGGTTGTTTAAAAGTCAGTAGATCTAAGGCGAGTTCCAGCTTGCCAACCTGGCAGCTACAAAACAGATGTGAGCATCTGTACTGATTGCAACAACGGATGGAGCAAGCGCCAGACCACTCCATCACAGTTGCTGGAGCCAATAAGAAACACACAAGTGAAAATGTGCGTTGCTCCTAATTATTCCCCTTTGTTGACTAACATTTCTAATTATGAAGCAAGTTATCACAAAAATACTTAAAAGGAGAAGCTTAACAACACGACAGGATCTTGATTTTTTTTTTTCCCCTTAGCCACAAATAGACAACTCAGTAACCAGTAAAGCATTAACTGTCTTGTCTAATAAAATATTTTCACTCATGCAGTGAAGAAAGATGGAGTACCAAAAGCAGTTCAAGTAAACCATCCTTTCTGTAATCACCACTCCAAAGAACAAAAACTATGCTGGAGGGCAGCTTTGCTTTTTAGAGCTAGGTTAGTTACTCAGGTTCTACACCGCTTGGTATTTCTCAAAACTGATGGACTTCGTGCCAAAAGCTAAAACTGAAAGCAGATTAACAGTCCTGACTATGACACACCCAAAATCAGTTTGCCCCAGTCCTTCACCATTTGGCAGTGACTACTAGAACCTACCTGCAGTCTAAGAACATACAGAAACTAATACAAATTAATGTTCTGAAAGGCTCTTTTCTGAATCAGAAAGTCTGGGCAAGGACCAGAAAGATCAAGTTACATTTGAGGAGTTCAAATACTGAGAATACTTACTGCATTTTCAGGATGGAAGATGTAAGATGCAGGAGAATTATCTACTATAATAACTTTACTCAGCTCACGTCCCAGTCGACTCAGATCCTTCACATAATTTCCTCGGTGGAAAACACAGGATTCTCTAAAGAGCCTTGCCCTGAACACACCCCAGCGATCCAGTAAGTCGGCTACTGGGTCTGCATACTTAAAAACAGAAGTTAGAAACATGAAGTTAGTAAAGCGCAGATAAGGCTAATTCACAGAACGATACAAAGAAGGAACACAAAATAATTTCAGATAAAATGCCCTTTCTTCATTTGCTTCCCTGCTCCTTGTTAATTAATTTACAATGCCTGCAAACCTGAAGTGATTAACGGGGAGATAACACAAAAGTGGGATGGTTATCTTTCTAGGGAAGGCTAACTTGCACTTGAATGTTTTCTGTGATTTATCGATTAGGTTTTATTCTTAGGGCCAACTTACAGTTACCCTAGGAGTCACCTAAAAGTTGATGGATACAGAGATCTCACCTAACATTACCATAAAACCAACGAATACTAACAGAAAAATCTATATGAAGCCACTTCCACAGCCAATTCATATCCACGTCCCTCTGAAGATAAACCGCAACGAACGCATCTAAGCTTGGTGTAGCTTTCTCATATGATGCCCTTGGAGCGACTGGGACAGAACCTTAAGATTACCAAATTGCATAATTGGGACATAAAAGATCAGACAAAGCTGTTATTAGAATGTTATTGTACCCATGTGCAATACTGGGAAATTCTTATTTTATATATAAGATGATACTTTAAGTGAGGCACAGCTTAGAATCCAACAACTGATATAAACTATCCAAGGGAAAGTATTCAGATAAACCAGAACATGGAAGAACCATGTACTTGAAAATGGTAGTAATAACTATTTTTGTAGAATAGGGATTACCATTTTCCTATATTTTAAACTGAGAAACAAAATTGATGTTGAAATCAATCATCTTTTGACTATGAAACCTGCCAGACATCTAGCTGCAGTATGAGATCATTCCATTATTTAGGAAGGCTGGACCAGATGATCCTTGAGGTCCCTTCCAACCTAGGATTCTATGATTTTTTCACAGTACGACTGAACAGAACACGGTAACCAGAGCGCAGGGAAGAATCCCCTCGTAAGCAGGCACTGTAGCAGGTCAAACAGGGACCTGTCCCCTTCCACCACCTCTACAGTAGGTTGGAGTAAAAGCTTACTATGCTAGGTTATTATTTAGAAACAGTCAATATGATTTTACAAACAAGACACCACAAATACAATACACTGGAAGAAGTGAAAAATATGCCTACTACTGTAATGTCTACCACAAAACTACCTACGAGGTACTACTGCTACTGGAGACCAGAGGGCACAAAATATTCCTGTTGATGTTTCAAGCTTCACAAAATGTCTAATTTGCTAGCTCCCGATTGCAATTGCACCTTGACAGAAAAAAAAAAATGTGTTTCCAAATTTTCAGACACGGTGAATTTCTGAATCACCGGTTGATCATGTAGGTAGCATTAAATACAGTGTATTTTATTTCATGCCCAGCTTTAATATACTGCTTTACTCGCACGCTATTTGTTCTAATTTCTCACTATAACCATGGTAACTTGTAAGCCTTTCATATTGGCATTATGAGCAATGCATGGAGGCTACATTATGAGACAAGCCCATATGTGATGGTGTTACCATGGAAACACTTACCCACACACTAGCAGACAAAGTACACACTGTCAGACAAAGAAGCAGAAAAGAAGGGGAAAAATTAAGATAGTACCAACTGTGGAAATAATAATCCATAGAAAAACCCAACCAAACGTCCAGTGACCAGCACCGTGAGGGCTAACGAGATGAAGAGGAACAAACCTTGGCTAGACTGGCTGTGAAGAGTACACATTCAAAGAGCTCTCCCATCCTCTGAAGAAACTCATCCACATGTGGTCGCTTCAATACATAAACCTGGAATGACAATGGCTATTTAGGTCAAACAGTGTTTCAGGCAAAAGGAAAAAACAACCCCTCAAAACACTCCTGTAATCCTAACACTTGAAGAAACAAAAGTTTGCATGGAAGCAGTTCAAATGAAACGCTGAAAGGAAAAGAAAAAAAACCAAGTATACAAGATAAAAGTAGACATTCAATAATGAGAAATTTGAATGCACGGGCTGCCAAGCCCCATGCTGATTATGCAATTGCAAATACCGTGCATCATCTGGAGTGATGCTTCTTGAAAAAATCTCATTAAAGGCAAAGAGAGACAGTAGGGCTTCTCAAGAAGCGAGGATTCAGATCTCTCAACCGAAATGATTTTGGTGCTGGTGTCTTCGGTCCTGAAGGGCTTTACAGAAGGAATAAATCTGATGAAACCGCTATGATGACAGCAATTGCACAACAGGGAACTGTTTTCTTCCTGTGGCTAATTCTTTCGTTTTTTAAATTCCAGGCACTAAGTACCCTATCTCACCACGGATAGTTATCAGTCATCCGGCTCCGCAGACAACTTTCACCAAAAACCTTCATAGCGCCCCGCAGAATGGCTAGCAAACGTTGCTTTCAAAATCCGGTGGCGAGGTCTATAGCATCTTCTGCCGTGACCTTGTCATTAAAAATGGTAAATGCTCAGGATCTCTCTCCTCTTGAGCAGCTTGGTTTCAGCAAGGTTATCTTGCCTTTTTGCACTGACAACCATACAGGCACAGCTTGGCTGCCTACTGTCAACAACCTGATTAGTAAGTATTAGAGCCTCCTTGCCTCTCTTTTTGGAGCAAGCGAGATGATTTGCGTTCACAGAAAACACCGAGATAAGATAACTGCTGCTCAGAAAGCCTGCAAGTAGTTCACAATATGCTGGGAAGCTGAAGAGGGGAGTCTGCTTGAAAAATATTTATCTATCTTGTTTGCACTTAGATTAAAAGTTTGAGAGAAAACACTGGCCGCATTTTATCTTCTTTGTTTGGCAAATAACCCTTAATACTGGACATCTCAAATGAAGCCTGGCATATAACTGAATTCAGGAAGAATTAATTGCAAGACTGACGCAATTTCAGGAATATCTTTCTTTGATATGTAGAACTAGAGTAATTGCATGTATTCTAGTACATTCATATTAATAAAACCGTAAAAAACATAAGGCACCCAGAGAAAGAGCCTGAAGGAGAAAATTATGGAAGTGCCAGCTTGAACTGAAGTGTAACAATTAAAGCCTTTAGCAAAAGAAGGGAGAAAGTTGCATAAGGGAGACTTGAAATTGAAAAACTAAATCTGAAAGCAAAGTTTTATTAAAAACATACATGATGGAGCTGTACCTTAATGACCAAAGCAGAAATGTTAATTACTTTTCCACTTTATGTAGCATATAGCTCATAGCATGAAGACTTGATCTGCTTTAAGTTATTTCTATGAAGTCCAAACTCTTTCTGGCCCCTCAAATTCAAGCAATACATCCAAACTTTGATACAGATAACAAGTTATAACCCAGATTTTTTTTTCTTCTTTAAACAACCACAGCAGCACTTAACCAATTAATTAATGTGACATTTTATGAATTAAAGACAGTTAACAGATGTGCTTCAACACCACTCTCTTTCCAGATAATTACAGCAAAGTTTCCTGTATTTTGCTAGGCATAAACCAAGTAATTTCCTCTCCTACAACAACGCAATTAATTTTGTACTTAAATCTTACTACACGAAGTTGTTCTGTAGTATTTCCTTTCCAAATTGCATCTCCAATTTTTTAAAGACAGGGGTAGAAAGACAGTGGCAGACCTTCTCTATTTGGGCACCCAGAAAGAGATGCAAGTTACTCCTTAACTCTACAGTTCCTAATGAAGTTCTTAATTCTTTAGCCTTAAATTATATTCCTACACTTATTTTTGAGGGCGCAAAAAGGACACCCCAGAGTCTTAAATTCTTGGATAGGAAGTGCTGGAATTTAGTATTAATTTCCCTTTTAAAACCTTGTGTTTTCAGGAACAGCAAAAGAAGCGTCCCCTTCGCTCTTCACCCCTATCTGTGCCTGTGTCGGTGAACTATTTCCACTTGGAATGTAATTACAGACTCCAAGCCAGAGATATGAACTTTGCTGCTTGCAACCTAACCCACCTCTTCCATAAAGAGAGCATACAGTAAATCAACCCAGCAGCTACAGACCGAGAGCTCCTTAACCACAGGCTTGCAGACAGGAGTGGGTTTATAAAAGCAAGTATTTGCTATACGCGCTCTTTTGGCAATTTGTAGGTCTCCTAATACTGTGACTAGTCGGTATTAGCTGTAAGTACGCAGTGTTTTTAAGTTGTATTGTCTCTATCCCCCAGGTTTAGATCTCCTGATCCACCACAGAGCTCCCTCAACCTCCTGTACTTGAGCTTCTCTTGCTGTTTTGCCTTAAATCTTACCTACTGGGCTCTGGCCAACAGATTTGCCCCTCATTTTAAATGCCTTATTAATAATAAATGCCACCTCTTAGGATGAGGTCTCACCAATTTTTTCCCTTCACTCTCTCCTCCTCTAAAAAGCCCCAACTCCTTCACTTTTTAACAACACTTTTTTTTTTTTTTTTTTTCAGAACAACATACATTAATACTTTTGATGGTTATTCCCCTTGAAGTTTTTTTTTGAGAAGTCTTACTTAGATCCTGGAAGCAACTGCAAGTGTGCTGGTATCCTGGGCTACAAAATCTCTTTGGTTTACTTCACATAAAAAGCTTTCTTCAGCTGACAGTGCAGCTCTTTTCTCCTCTTCCTCCTCATTTGGAATTTTTTCCCCTTTACTTTGTTAGCGGCTGGACTTGCATCTCAATGCCGCATGGTTATTTGTGGCTTGGCTTTTTCCTCTGTTGCCTGATGTCTTCAGTTTAAGTCTCTAGACTAACTGGCTCCTGGCATTTTTCTGAGATTTATATACTGTCTTCAGGGCATTAAAAAAAACCCAACCCTCCGGTTTTTCTGTGTTGTATGCTCACTAATTTCTTCCTTATCACAGTAAGAATTTAGAGGACTACAGTCTTTTTTTTTTTTTTATTTGAAATGAACCTTACTCTTAAAATGTTAAGGCACAAATCAGGCACTGGGCATGTTTTCACAGGATTCTGTACTTACAGCTGCTAATGGCAGAACCCAAGTAATTATCTTTAATTGTTTTCATGCATTTGGTGTTTCCACATACATTTTCTACATCTCAAAGCAGTCTTAACCTAAAAAGACTCAGTATTTGTACACCAAAAGTGAAACCCAATTCAATTTTAATCAGTTAAATAGGACACAAAGAATTGCCTTTCCAAACCAGCTTTACAATAACGAAATCTTCAAGTAACAATAAAGCAATTCACCCGTGACAACTCAAGCTCCTGTAATCTCCCTTTTTGTGGGCTGGGTGCATCTTCTTAACAGCGAGCAGAAAACAAAACGCATCCTTGAGCCTCCTCGTCTGCCTGGTTCACACAGTTGTGGTTGCCTCCCAGTGCAAGTAACCAAGAATAGGCCAGCTAGAATGGATACAGCCTATCCTGGATTACTTGAACCAGGCCACATCCTTCTGTGAGAAAATGAACAAAGTTTGTCCTTTATAGAAAGAAATTTTATTATTTTTGAACGGCGTTCCCCACCCCTCCACAATAAAAAACATTTTGTATGTTACAGTCAGAGTATACATGCTAAACATTGCTTTAGCTTTCAACAACTAAAAATAAGCAATTGGTAATTGAATATACAAAACACTTAAAAACTGATTTTACTCACTTAATAAACAAATTACCTTAACAAATGAACTTCCAAGTAACATCAAATCAAACTCTTCCTGGCTGCCCTCTTTACTCTTTGACACTGAGAGCAAGGCACAAAGGCACTGCAAGTCAATTTGGATAAAAGACAAAGGACCACCATACCCTAAAAATCTTTACCTGTTGGGGTTTACAGCTATATTAAACGCACGGTTTCTAATCTGGGGGTTGTGATTGTGGTTGCTCTGCATTCGTTAAATGGGAAGCACGCTCCAAAAGAGAGAACCTGTTCTTGCAGAAGTTACGTCAAGGGTACCAAACAGGCTGAACGTCTTTTCTCCAGCAACTCCTTTAATCCTCAGACTTTCTCTAAAGAGCACTCTTAGTTGCAACACATTTCGCTGGACTTCCCACAGTTTCTCACTTATAATTTGGTAGAGCAGGGGACCAGCTCTAATTTCCTTTTATTCAGAGAATCAGAGAGAAATGAGAGAACTGGCCAGGAGGGTGTCAGCTTGCATTAGAACTGCCCTTTTGTGTCTGTGCCATCATTTCCAACACAAAGCATGGGATTCATCTCCTGTAACTTTAGCTGCCCTGTAGACGGGCACAGTCTCTGCAGGCATCTAAAGACCCATAACGGAAGGAAAGAGAGGTACCTCCACACATGAGTTACTTCTAAAACAAAATGACAAATCCTTTCTAAAGAGGGAAGCCTTTTTTGAATACCTCTGTTGCACAACAAAAAAGTTACAACAGTTACCACGAACAACACTTGTTAGGTAAGTCAGCCCCAAAACTCTTTCAAGTGTACAGCAATTGAATTTGCCACAGCTTGTATTTGTGGTATACGAGACCTGAAGAATCTCACATAATCTCAAATTTCTTTCTGAATGGGCACTTCTAAAATGGTGTTCTCCATTTGTTTTCCATGGGGTAGAGGCAGGGTTCAAGTACAACACCACTCTGTCAGTCTCCTGCTCGATAAGATACCAGGCTTACTGGTAAAGCAGGTAGGGACAGGCACTACAGACAGTGTGGTTTCACAACATTTCACGTATCCCATAGTATTTTAAACAGGTGGAAGTATTTCCCAATGCCAATGATTAACCTTTGAGTATACAAACTGCTTAGGAAAATGGACAGGCATTATACAGATGGCAAATTCTGATGGGTGACAAAAATCGTTGGTATCTGTTCAGTTTATGCTCTAAGTTAATTAAAAAAAATTACAGGTTTGAAGTGGAAACCGGCTGTCAAAGCCCTACAGCCTGTGTTAACACCCACTGGACTAAGCCAGAACGTCCGCTTTTGCCCTTCAGATTATCACAGTTAAATAAAAAAAGATTGCTGGATGATAGTACATTGCTTTGCCTGCAGAGGTATTACAAACACAGGGACCCAAGTCTTTGCCTGTTCTGCATACTGTATAAATTACCTTTACTTCAAGGATCACACATTCCTTACAATTAACTTCACTTCAACCACCCATCTGCGACAGATTTTTACCTATTTTAGAGATTAAGAATGTGAAATATAAAGGTATTAAGCAATTTCCTTGAAAATTATGCAGGAAGCATCCAGCAAAGCACAGTCAGAGACTCCCTTCACTTGACCTTCTCTGTCAAGAGCAGCCTTCCTCCTTCATGTCTAGGGTACGGACAAATCCACTCCCTTTGACCCATTGGTTTTGGTTTGTTTTTCCCCTGACACGCAGTCATCTTGAGTGCCTAACTGCATTACGTTTGGTGAAGAATCTGAAAGTTTGCAGTGGGGAACAGAAAAGCAACAGGCTTTTGAAGTGCTTGACTGTAAAGCCCAAATAGTCTTTTACCGGGTTTTATTGCAAAATGTAAATACGTGATCTTGACAAGCTAAGTGATCACAATCCTAAGCCATTCAAAATTGTTAGGCAACCTAATTTATTCCCTTTCAAAAGCATTCCAGAAAGTTTTAGGGGAGAAAATGTCTGCGTTACAGCACCAAACACAATTAAAGCCCACATCAAATGAGGACAGACAGTATCACAATAAATCTCCCAAAACATCACTTACGTATTTTAAGCATTCAGCTCTGGTGAACAATAAAGGTTTAAGTACCCTAGATATTGAATTTTTCTACGTAAAACAGGCACAGTGTAAAAACTGTCACAGCAACTATAGCTTTAAAACTCATTTCAGTCCAGTGACTGATATTTAGTAATAATTTTAAGAGCAACAATTACACGGATAGTTTTCATAACAGGGAATCAAACAAAACCGATGCACTAACTTCATGATCTATCAATTGTTCCAAGATCAAACTATGAACATATTAAAACAATCCATATAAAAAGACAACATTTCAAAAATTGAAGTATTTAAAATCTCCATTGAACCACATCCAGGGAAGATTTGCAACTCAATAACTGCATTATCTTTAACCTACAACAATCAATAGAAGGTGTTTCAAACAATTTTCAAGATTCATGTATCAGAAAGGCTCAACTTCACATTAACCAGTAAAACCAGTCTCCAGAAATAACTTTAATGTCTGACTGAAGAGGAAAATCTTTGGCACTAATTTATTTCATTCAATGTTTTCAGAAATCACTACTGACTAAAGACACCAAGGTAAGATACACAAAGGGGACAGACTTTCAAATTATGGGTGTTTTGCATGTACTGAAAACCATTTCACAGAGTCTTAAGTGAAAAAAATTAGTCTCCTTGCAATTTTGTCTGGACCTTGTAAAGATGCTGAAGCGTATACAAAGTCCTAGCAGAGGAACTTAAATTACTTACAGGAAGAAAAGGGGACAGAACTTAGATTGCCACAAAAACTGAAGAAATATCTGTTCTTCCTTAATAGTTTTATAAAGCTCTGACCATATGAACTACCAACAGAAATTAAAGCCAACTTATGTCCTGTTTGTCTGTGGAGGCAATGAGAATACAGTATTCAAGTAGCTTTTTCTGGGCCTTGCAATGTTTGAGAACCCATCCTTAGATAATTTCCTGTTTGAAAATGTTTTTAAATTGACAAAGAGTCAAGTATTGAAGTCCTGAGAGAGAGACTCTAGAGAAGTGAAAAAGTTAAAACCAAGACTTAGTAGTTAGAAACTACATACCTGATCAAATAGGGATGCCTGTCTGGATGAGACATTCCAGACTACACAGCTTTTGTATTTTGCAAAAGGACAAGTTATTGAATGTCAAGCAGCAAATGAAGAAAGATAACTCTCTGGGATGCTGAGGACAGTTGCACCACCAGCACAACGCTAAGGGAACAAGAGCACTTACCTGATGTATGGTTCCATCAATTTCAACAGGAACGATGAAATCAGCATTGCTAATTGGCTAGAAAGAACGACAAGGAAATAAATCAACGTTAAAAATAAGATCATTAGAGGGAAGATTTCAGAGGTGTAAAAGAGAAGAGTACTTACTTCTCGGGAACAAGTTAATAAGCTTTTCTGACTGTACAGATCCACCCTGTGTGCGCACCCTTTACAGGCACAAGTCAGACGTCTTACACAGCCGTATTCACCAGATACTGCACTTCCCTCTTCTCTCATATTTTTAAGCTTTGTACAATATAACATGCTTTACTGCTTGAATAAGCCCCGCTACCTCCGGGTGTGTTTACTGGGATAAGCATCTATTTGATTAACTCTTTCATCAAGTCTGTGTGGATGATGACAAAGAAATTCAGCTATGGGCTTCACGTATTCTATTCTGGCTCATCAATTAGTAATTAATTAAAAACAAAGACAGTGGTAAAAGTAATACCTAATGGTTATATTTGAATCAGGAGCTGCAGCAAGTTGCAACAAGACTTAAGTCGTATAGTTAAATGATTCTCAAGATGCAATACCTCAAGAACGTGCCATACCAATCAGATGAATCCCATAAAACTGCATTTTAAACTCAAAAGGGAAGAGCAGGCACACTCTGTCCAAGTCCTTGAATCCATTTTGCCAGCCTGTTGAATACAACTTATTTCTTAAGACTTACTGTGAAAACCTGTTGGTCAAGTAAAATTACTTTGGAAAGCAGAAAAATGACCTTCTAGACAGTTTAAGAGTACATAGTTTAATCTTGGCTAGATAGTAGTGGTAGCTGGGTGACGCACAGCTAAGAATGTTTACTAGTTCAAACGGACATCAAACTTGGCAGAATCCTTTGGTACGGTTCATGCATTACGTCCGTGATTAAAAAAAAAAAAAAACAACAAAAAACCAATCACCACGAACCATGTAAACAAGCCTGGCTGAAGTCTGTAACTCACTCCACGATCTGCAGCTTGGAAATGGCCGAGATACAGAGCTGCCAAATATAGTTTTAACAGGACTGATTAACAGACAATAAGCTTCATGGATAACAGCCTAAAACAAAGGCTGGGAGCAGTCTGGCTGGTAACTGGTATGGCATTACTAAGGATGGATATCGTCTTCACTCAGCTCTATCAGACTTGCACAGACTTTCTCACCTGGTTTTCTGGATCAGCCAGTAGACTGATCTTAAGTACCACCAAGGAGCACGTCCTGGAGGAATCTGCAAGACTAGAAACAGCTTTCAAACCCATCTGGGCGGGCAAGGAGGTGCCAAGGAAGCGGAGAAGCAGCCAAGGTAAAGAGACCAAGAAGCAGATGACAAACTGGTGAGCATAAAGAGCTGCTCTGTGGAAAATGGTAGGAAAAAAGGATCCCGCAATATCAACCTGATAGCACCATTTTGATCCCATTCCCTGGAAAAAACGAGATTCTAATTCCACTGTTAAATGACCCTCCTGCGAGGAGAACAAAGCGACAGTAAGAATTTATATGCAGGGCAACACCTTCTCTCAGTAGTGAAGTAATAAGGAAGATGTTTTGATCCGACACCTGCAAGCGCTGCGTCAGAGGGCAAATGAGAAGCTACACCAAACCCACTCGTCCTGACCAACCAGTATGGGCAACCAAACCTCCAGAGCAGCTGATGCTGGAAACCCCCATTCTGTTGACTGCCACGCTAGTATGATCTAAAGAATTCCTCAAATACCCGCAGATACAATCTAGGTTTTTCTTTAGCTGAGAGCAAGCAATTTCCAAGATACACCCCCCTTTCTGCCTCTGCAAGACAGGGGGGAGGCTCCCATCTGCTACCTGCATGAAGCCCCCCAGACAGACGATACTCTGCAGCATCTCCGACAGCCAGAGAACAGGCACATAAAAATGTACTGAAGCTTCACCTTAAAAGAAACCCAAATGAACAGTCAATGAGACTCAGCCACCAAAGTTTTCAAGTGGGTGCCAGCGTCGTACACGCTTTGAGAAGACTTGCACGCACTTGAAGAATTTATATATGCATGACGCCCTTAAGCAAGATAAATATTCTGTACCAGCAGAAAAAGAATAGGTCACTGCAAGTTGCAAAGGTTTTGAAGCCCACTGATAAAATATCCAGCTATTACTAAACTTTAACGGAAGCAACAGCAACCAGATGCCAGAGAAAAGCACATTCTGTGTAGACAACCTAACTTTTGCTAACAAATAAAACTCACCCTTAGACTTAGTAACACTAACCAAACTACTGGCAGCCCAGAAGGCCAACCGTACTCTGGGCTGCATCATGAGAAGCGTGGCCAGCAAGTCGAGGGAGGTGACTCTGCCCCTCTACTCTGCTCTGGGGAGACCTCACCTGGAGCCCTGCGTTCAGCTCTGGAGCCCTCAGCAGAAGAAGGACATGGAAGTGTTGGAGCGGGGCCAGAGGAGGGCCATAAAAACGATCCGAGGGCTGGAGCCCCTCTGCTATGAGGCCAGGCTGAGAGAGTTGGGGTTGTTCAGCCTGGAGAAGAGAAGGCTGCGGGCAGACCTGATTACGGCCTTTCAGTACCTAAAGGGGGCCTATAGGAAAGATGGGGACAATCTTTTCAGTAGGGCCAGCTGTGTCAGGACAAGGGGTAATGGTTTTAAACTAAACCGGGGTAGGTTTAGACTGGATCTAAGGAAGAAATTCTTTCCAGTGAGGGTGGTGAAACCCTGGAACAGGTTGCCCAGAGAGGTGGTGGAGGCCCCATCCCTGGGAACATTCAAGGCCAGGTTGGACGGGGCTCTGAGCAACCTGATCTGGTTAAAGGTGTCCCTGCTCCTGCAGGGGGGTTGCGCTAGATGACCTCTAGGGGTCCCTTCCAACCCAAAACATTCTATGATTCTACTCAACTATGTATTTGCTTCCCCCACTTATCCTTTAGGTACTACGTAGCTTGCTTGTTGGCACAAGCGATAAGGAAGAGAGCTTGGGCTGGGGTTCTGTGCTTCATCACGGTGGGAAGACAGGAGAAAAGTCTGCAGCAGTTTGCTGGATAAAGGCTTCTGGGGCTGCACACATGAAGCACGTACGTGCCTCAAGTGGGAGCCACAGAGACAGAGCGTGAAAGAAGACAATGTGTTTCCACTGAATCTTTACTTCAGCTAGAACTGTTTCTATTTAATAAAAAGCTTCAGAGTTTTAAATGTTCTAGAAGTGTTTCACAGCCAGTTTTGAATATGACTACATTCCAGACTTGCATGTGGTTTAATGCATTTTATACAAAACCATGTTTACATCTCCTTGATTTAATAATTTATGATTTTTGCTTCTGTTATTGTTTTATGATGGGAATGATAACTATAATGTCTATCTATTCCTTTTTTACTCTTGCCAAAGCACCCCAAACTTTATTCCTTTAATGTGCCCTTAACATGAAAGACCAGTACCTCCTTAAAGCTTCACAAATATGCAGGGGCATAAAAAGGCAAGAATTACCCTCCTTCAGATGTTGCTGCTTTCATAAAAAAGCACTTTAAATACTCTGCCTCTCTGGTTGTGTTAAAAAAAAAAAAAATTATCTGCATTTGAAATATGTAGCCTATTTCTTAACAGAATTATGAATTCTAAAATATCATGTGTTTTAAATAAAGCCTTTTCTACTAAAAATCACAAATTTATGGATGCTTTTACAGCTTTTAAGTCGGGACCTGCCTGGGTAGAGCAGACATGTTTTAGTGGAAAAAAAAAAATAATACAACTAAAAGAAACCGCAGAAGTAACTTGATTTTCAGGCAGAGCAACGTGCATATAGGTGTTAAATCCCCTTGCTCCTCTGGAAATCCATCGTTATTTTTGATGACCGCAACGGCCTTGCTTCAGCTGAAGCATCTCCCTTTCTGAAACAAAATCCAAACAGCACCCCCTGGACAGCGCCAGCCACCAAACCGCTAAAGCCGTTCCCTCCAGCACATGGTTTTCTCTTACAAACTCCCATCACAGGGCTTCTTCCCGTTCAGATAATGTCCCTGTAGCCGTAAGACTCCAATACTGCAGAAACACCAACATTTGCCTCACGCTATTTGCTTCGCACAAAAAAGGGACCAGTTTTCTTTTCCCAACACAAAACATTATTCAGTGTTCCAAGACTAAGTCGGGTAATCTTTTGATTTTTCTTAAATATCTATGTAACATCATTTAAATACCCATTAAATATCATTTGAATAAATGGGATGATTAAAACAAGCCCACTAAGAAAGCACACAGCAATAAAGGCAAACCTCAATCCTACAAGAAAGGACTTACACTATGTCAACCATTACACATTTACTTCTTTAAAATGGTTTTAAAAAAAAATAAATTATTAACCACCTAAATTGAATCTCACTTTGTTTCAAAACCCAGGAAAATCACAGTTACCCACAGCATTCAGAAAACAAACTTTTCTTTTTACATTTCAGATAACACTAAGCGTAATAGTTCATTATTTTTATGTAAATTTAGAGTTTTAAATTTAGCTTTCCCCTCCTATTCTTGACTCTCATTTTAATTAGGAAGGCATGGTCACTCCCCCTTCCCAATCCAGCTGTGTTTCTCATCTCCCTGAAAAATTCTCAAGTGCAAGTTCAGTCTGGGTATAGCAGACAAGGATCTGGCACTGAGGTTAAGAGGTTCCTGTGCGCCACCACAAATTGTTATATACCATTAGGCAAAATATAGACGGAGAAGAATCTTAGTTTCAGTTTGAGGCACAGGAATATTTTTTCTAGTATCTCCATATAAGTTCTTCTTTTAAGTCAACAAAGACAGGCTGTTGCCAAATTCTAACCGCAACATGAATTATGGTTTGCATATTTAAATGCTGGCAACTAAATATTGCAGGATTAAAATGTTGAGTTTATGCCAGCAGTGAAAAACAAAGTGCAATCAAAACTAGAAGACTATAAAGTTGGTGGTAACTCCAGCTTGCTGTTAAGAAAGAAATATATTACTGATTCTTAAAAATTCTCCAATAGCAAAGTATAAAACTGGCACATGCTTCAGCATGTCTGACATTTGCTCATCAGAAATACAACCAGTACTCTGCGCCAGTTTAGGTTATTTGTATTTCTGAATTCTCCTATTCTAACTTTAGCCCTACTTAAACAATAGAAAAATACCACCACATGCTGAAATCTGAAGGGTTATAAAAGTTGCCCCTACAAGATGACTGACACATCAGCAACAGCTAAATGCTATTTGCTTTCCTGCTGTGAAAGCTAAATTCTTACAAACACTGAGATCCACAGCAAGCAATCTGCAGCAACAGTGCACAGCAATCACCAGTGCCCCAAACCAACTGGTTTAAGGTACATCTACGTAGCATAAAGGCATGCTGAATTTCCATTCTCCTAGACTAACTATGGCATCATTTAAACATCAGAAACGAAACCATGTTTTCAGAGCAACAAGCTTTGTACCTGTTGAAATACAGGTCCTTGTTGGAGTAGTTACCATTTGGAGCCATAAAGTCAACAACCATTCAAGGCCTTGCTGCAGTCGGTGTTGACTTTCTCGAAACCAAAAAAATAGCACTGTCTGTGCTACTCCCCTTACAGCTAAATTAGGATGAATAGTCATAGGAGAAACAACGAGAACTAGCAGGCGTCCTGGGCGAGCCTGTAAGACTAGTTAACGTGTTAAGAGGCTTAACAGTTCCTACAACATTCACCGACAGATTCAAGTTGCAAGACATCGCTTTTGAATTTACTTACCTTAAATGAACTGTGCACTAAAGTTTCATCTAAATCAATGACCACACACTTCTTCCCATAGTCTGATGCTGTCAGTTCTGGCAGGAGGTATTTAGCTGGTGGCTAAAAACAGAGAGGAGAGAGGAAGACAACAACAACAAAAAAAGTAAAACCTCTATTGAAGGGGCACTCTTCTGCCAACTTTACTATTCTAGTAGTTACTGGGAACTGAAATACATGACTCGAAAGTTGAATGCATTTCTGGGCTCATAGCAAGTACATGTATGGAAATTAATGGCTCATGCAATAACCATATGGACTTTTTTTTTAAAAAAAAAAAAAAAAAAAAAGATATACTTGTTTAGAATGATCTCCAAAGCATTGGAAATGAAAATGGTAAAACAGCACCACTAGCTAAAAAATAACAGTAAAAAATGGGACATTTTGATAGAATATCTTTTCCAGTGACCCTCTTCTTAATGCCTTGGGTTTGGATGCTGTTATCCTATTCACAGGCAATGCTATTTCCAGCCATATCACACTGATGGACATTTACACAAATCATTATTTCTGTTTGCCGTGAAAGATGCTAAAGTGGAGAAATCAATCCTGAAGGAAGACAGCATTACTAGTTTTATTTTCCAGGACATGTCTCCACTCTCATTTTTACCACTTGTGAAGGTGCTGACCAAGAGCTTTCACGTGGATTACGTTCCCAATCAAGGTATTAAAGTTGCAGTAGAATCTAAACTAGGCTCTTTTCTACAGTACGCTGCCCTTACTAAAAAATGGTACCAATTACACAAATTGACAATTTTTCTGAAAGCAATGCAGACAGTCATATAGTCTTCCGAT